TTAATTAATTCATAAGGATATATTCTGTTCCACTGTAAGTTTCCATTCTGTTTGTATCTTTATATTTGTGTGTGTGTAAGTGTGTTACCGACCGAAAACTGTGTAAATAATCTATGTAACTTAATGTCTGCCCATTCTTTTTAGCCCTTATGGTTATTTTGGGCAGGCAGTACTCTATTCTAATTTAATGTTTATTGTAATTATTTTATAAATTGTGAGTACAAATAAATGGTTGTTGTTGTTGTTGTTTTTTTAGGGTGGAGTAGTTAGAAACTTGCTGGACACAACAAACGAGCGACCATGGCTGTGGGTGCTGTTTGTCATTTTACTACTTGTTTTAATTGGTGCTCGCTGTTTCCCTGGAAGCAAGGTAAGTAATATAATTTGATATATCTTTTAATTAATAATCTTGTGATGTCAATACAATGTTCTTAACAATAGATATTGAAGCTGGTTGAGAGTGAGGCTAAGGGTGCTTAGTCCATGATGGTATATAAGTTCCTTTACCTTGTTACCAAATGGTAAAAGTATTGAAATAGGATTAGGCATTTTAAACTGACTTCAACATTTACGTACATTTTAGAAACCAGGCACAGTGCTGTTTTTATTTCTGGATCTTTTATTCATTGTCTTGTCCTGACTTGTTCCACATCCTCGCAAGGATGATTAGAGCATTCACTACCACCTTCTTCACCTTCTACTGCATTGTAACATGGTTTTATTATCATCCCTTCTCATCCCTTCATCCCCTGCACCAGATTGGCCTCATTGTTTTTGGCAATGGTGGTTCTAGTCATTAATTACTTTCTTTTCATTCTATTTCTCCAATGATGTCAATAATTAAGTTACATAGTATATTCTCCCAAATGGTACTGTTAGAAATTTCAGGAGGTTTGTAAGAAGAATGTGTAAGTTTATGTCAAGATACGTGTTGTTTGTAGAGTGATGCTGCCAAAAAGAAGAAGACCGATGAACCAACCGAAGATGTTGTTCCTGAAGAAGACAAGGTATTGTGTTGTAAAAGAAATCCTGAGAGTGGTCATTGTCATGTACATAATATGTAATCTAGCTGCGTACATGTACACTGTTTGAACATTCTTGGCTGGGTTGTTCAAAGCATGATTCAGCTAACCCAGGATTAGCGAGAATTTTGATGTCAGTGTTGTAACTTTACTTGTCATCATATTTTCAACCTTATGGTATGACTAGTTCTGTCAGTGGGCAAGATAAACCAAATTCTGCACTGTGATTGGCTACCTAAGTGGACAAGATGGCACTATATATATCTTGCCCACTCAAGATTACATGCTGTGTTCTGCCAGCAAAGTTTCCCTTAGAGCCCTGAACATTCTTAATCAAAAAAGCTTGTTCAGCCAAGATGGGTGGGTATTGGCCAAGTTCTGTGTGTTTATGGACCCAGATGCAGTCAAGGTCAATATCCAGCCATTTTGACCTCCTGCTTGGTCCCGTGCTTGGTCAATAACCCATATTTATTATATGGCTGTGTCTCACAAGGACTGGGAACTACTGAATTCATAATTTGATTAGCTGAAATTAATTTTGACCGCAGTCTAGATTTTACCATCTGGAGCGGCATCTAGACCAGTTACATTTTGCGGTGAAAAAGTTCCAAATGAAAGTACAAAAATATGGCCTATTTTCTCCATAATTTTGCGAAGTGCCAAAAGGCCTGATTGGAAAAAAGTAAAGAGGACGAGCAAATTTTGGCAGATTTAAGTTCAGCTCATTGCCGTTCGCAAGCAAATTGCCAGCTAGTACAAACCATTCTATTAAAAAAATTAATTTTTTTTTGTTTGCCATATAATAAACATCTTATTAACTGAGCTTAGTTGGCCTGTATGGGAGAATCTTGACCTCGGTCATGTGTACAGACCTCACTGCGTTTGGTCTGTACTCACGACCTCGGTCAAGATTGTCCCATACAGAACTCCTGCTCAATTAATAAGAGCTAAATTATAATCGCACAACTGTGCACGTGGTTGAAGTTGAGGGCTTGTTGTAGTGCTTTATAGGTGTCCATGACTGGCAGGTGGTAAGTAAACTTGTTAGGGTGCGTGGTGATCAAGTCATGATGAGCAAATCATGTTTTGAACACTTACACTGAAATCCCCTGCAAAAGGTTTGTATGCCATGCAGTAATTAATATTGACTGTACTTTTTAAATTTCATGGAGGATGAAAAAGTTGGAATTGGAACTGGCAGTCGGAATGGGCAACAGTTGTTTTCTTGTAGAGAAGACTTTGCAAAGTTTGTTGATATAAAAAATGTTACACAAGGGGACGACTTTGATGAGAACCATAAGGAGTCTTCATGTACAGGAAAGGAACCACCGGACAAACAGGATGCTACTAAGGAGAAAATTCGAAGACGTGGGAGAAAACGAGGCAGGTCTAGGCAATTGTCATTTCATTAACTTACTTCAGACAAGGTGTTTAGGAATTACTAACTCTATTTTGATGCTGTTCCACGGAAGCTAACTAAGTTTTGTTAGTTTAGGTTTTTCTCCTCTATGACTCATACAAGGATTTTGAGAATAACATTGGAAATTATAAATTATAAATATTAGCAAGATAAAGAAAAATTTTGGAGACAAAATGACATCATCATGGTGATTATAGTATATTGCCCCCAAAATTCCCTGTGATACATGGAGCTGGTCGAGAATCACACTAGCGTAGTGCATAATTCCCCCATCTGTTTTAAAATAGTGGCTTTTATCAATTTCAGGGGGAAATTTTCTTTTTAACTGTGTGGGGCAACCCTAGTTGTTGTTTATGTTCTGGGTTAAATTATATTTTTTAACTCGGCCTTTAGCGACATAGCAGTTAAGAGCTTGGCATTAAGTTTCTTTTATTTTCTTTTTCGGTTTTTAGTGTGAGATGAATTGTTTTGGCCCCATCCAGACTTTGTCTAGGCATGTACGTGTACATTGTGCTTGTAGGTTAAATCAATAAGTAATGTCACGGGGAGTTTTATAGTGTAGTACTGTGGCTCACTGTGATTGCTTTGCTAATGGTTTCGTTCACTGTGTGCCTTTTATGGAAAAACGTACAGGAAAAACTTCAACCGCTTGGTTTTCAGAGCTTAAACTATAGGTCTGTCGGGTCTAGTTCTAAACTAACAATGAACTTCCTGTACTGAACAAGTTTTAAAAATTAATATCTTTTTCAGGTGGAAGTAAGGCTGAAGTAAGGCTGTTCAGAGAACATCAATCCCGACAGGTCACACCTGACTGGGTCATTTCCCTTGATCAAAAGGTGAGAGAGGAAGAGGACCAAAAAGAGAATTTACAGAGACAACTAAGAGAGATGGCACAACAGCTGACAAACTTACAAGACCAATGTCGAGAAAAAGAGGACGAAACGGCTAACTTACAGAGACAAGTTACTATACAAGAACGACAACTAAGGGTAAAAGGCCGGCAAGTGAATGAATTGGAGATAAGAAGTCAAGAAGAGAACTTCCAAAGACAACTTAGAGAGATGGGACAACAGTTGAGAGAGAAAGAAGAACAAGAAGAGAATTTACAAAGACAACTAAGAGAGACAGAACAACAGCTGAGAGAGGAAGAGGACCGAAAAGAGAATTTACAGAGACAAGTTACTACACAAGAACGACAACTGAGGGTAAAAGACCAGCAGGTGAATGAATTGGNGTGCTTTGTTTGAACGAGAAATGGACATTGCTTCAAGATGCCGCCATCCTTGTTTGCTGCAGTTCATTGGAGCAACTAATGACGAGGGAAGTCCTTTGTTTGTAACAGAGCTTATGGAATCAAGTTTACGAGCATTGTTAGAGCAGAGACCTCTCGTTACAACAGAAGTCTCCACTATTTCTTTAGATGTGGCTCGAGCGTTAAACTACCTTCACCAAAAGAAACCTCCAATTATTCACCGTGACATCAGCAGTGCTAATGTGTTGCTATGGCGAAAGGGTGACCAACGGCGAGGCAAAGTGTCAGATTATGGAACTGCAAACTTTGTGCAACATACCATGACAGTTGGTCCTGGAGCCATGATTTACATGGCTCCTGAAGCACTCACTTCAAATCAAACAGTCAAGGTTAGCTATGACTTGCTTAAAGTTTGCCATCTTTTAATTACATAAGTAACGTGCACACATCCACTGTGGGATACACATCTGCGATAAAAAAAAAAAGTTGAAGGAACAAATTGAGTACTTCACGCGTGAGATGAATTGCAAAATAAATTAGAATTGCACTAAAATAAAAGAAGATAATTTGATATTTATCAGGAAGTATGTCACAACATTGTGTTCCTAAAATGGCTAGAAGATTGTTAATGAACGTAAAATGCAACAGGTAATTGAAAACTGAGGGATGTTCCTCCGGGAAATGTGAACCTTCAAATAGTTGTTACCGTTGTAGATTGTGTTTTCCAGAGATGATAAGCCATGTTAATTGCAGTTAAGAAACACCTTGCGTAATCTGGACTAAAACAACTAGGTTTATTTGCATACAGTGTTGCAAAAGTTTTTGTCAGTATCCTAAAATAGTAATGATTATCGTGTATAATAAGGTTATGATATAGCAATCAAGTTACATCGTCGGGGTTTGATTTGAAAGAAGAATTTTGCATAGATCAAAGCAAGATGAAATGAATTTTCCAATTGAATATTAACAAAATGATTCCAAGAAGCCTTAAGTACGCTGATGGCTTGTAACGAAGATAACTGTTTAAAAGAAAACCCTGAGTAGTTTGGTACTCCTATAATAAATGACTATTCATGCCGTATCTTACCCCGTTTGAAGTAGATATCTTCCTGTGTTATGGTATATATTGTTTTATAATGGTTGTCTTTAGGTCGATGTGTACAGTTTCGGTGTTCTTCTCTGTGAAATGTGCATCCGGGAATTACCAGATCCTGAAAGACGTAATCAGCAAATCGCAATGGTCACAAGCTGCCTGCTTCGTGCCCTTATACGGAGATGTGTGCAACGAGAACCTGCGGCGAGACCAAATATGGAAGAGATTATTGAAGAACTTGAAGAACCAGTTTAATGACATGTCATTGCTGTACATTGTTATGCTCAAACTACATGTACATGTAAGTGTTTATTCTAGTCCAGTGTGTTTTAATGAAACAAGGTTTCTTTAGCAGCTTACACAATGGTAATGTTTGCACATAACTGTGCAGTGGTGAATTGAATGAGTCATTTCTGAGTGTTAAATTGGGCCTTTTCATCCTCTAGTTATACGAAAAAGGTAGATAATTTTAGGCAGTTGTAAAGGTAATGTGGCCTATAAAAGTTCAGAAAGAGAAGTTTTTAAAGCATTAAAGCAAGTTCTTATCTCATAACTTTCAATTTTACACAATAGCTTTAACAAGGTAGACACGTTTCGTGCAAACAGTAAGGAATCTCTAAATATTCAGGATTATTAGGATTGGTAAACAATTTTCTGAAATATATTTTTCCCAGACGTTGTCAGTCAGGGTATATACTGAACTGATTTGTAATGAGATAATATCTAATCATAATAGTTAGTGAAGATGTCTTATATATTGTTTTGAAGTAGTCGCCTGTACATAGACTACATAAGCATTTTGCTTCCGGAGGGGACTCCCACATAAAAAAGACAGGGGTGCTCGTCGTACCTTTTAGGGGTTTAAAAAGTGGTTTTGCTACCTCTCTGGGTATTTAGCGTCAAAAGGTCCACAGTGGGAACTTTCTCGGTACCTTTCTAGGTATTAAGCCGAAAAAAAATATGACAGGAGATATTTCACTATCAACTGATGTATCGTTATTAAAAATAATGAAATTGTCAGTAAATGTGTAGTTTTAGAATTGCTACCTCTCAGGGATTAAAAAAATTCAAGCCACGCCCACAAAACAGGATCTTGGTACCTCTTATGGGC